CAGTCAAACCTCTCAGATCAACAAAAAACATCATGTCCTTCTTCTACCCATATATCACATTCAGAGGTACTAATTGCCTTTCTCCTCCAGTCTCAGAGGCGTGACTGTATCCAGTAAAAAGGCACCAAAGCATACATAAAAACATCTTTCAGTCCAAACAAGTAATGGGGAAGAAGAACCTTCTCTACCTTGCAGGTCAGCTTTGGTCAACTCAACTTTGTTAGCAAAAACAAAAACAACAAACAGAAAAAGCAAAAACAATAAACAACAGGTTAGTATAAAGACAGATAAACCAGGGTGCCATCACTTTAAATAAATAAAAATAATTAGTATAACACCATCACAACCAATGCGCATAATTAATACATGCAGGAAGGACAACATAAGCAACAAGGACACTGAGGGACACGGCTACCTTTACTCATCACCACTTGAACAACAGCAAAAACAAGCAACAAAACCACATGAGAGGGAGGAAACGCATTTAATTCACACACAGAGAAACAATCTACAGAGCAGGAAAAGGAAAATATCACATTTTTAACATCAATTCTTCCACTGATATTTCGAGATTTTGCTTCATTTGAGAAACACTTGGAATCCATTTATGTATAAAAATCTACTTGACTTTCAGCAGACTAGTCAGGAATATTTTTGTTTTGTTTCTACATCCAAACTCAAGAACTGAACATAAATTTGCTGTCTGTCATAAGAGCACAGATTGTCTTGGCTCTTTGGACAAAGTGGATTCACTGCCAGCAAACCATAGGGGAATGATAATTCTAGAAGAAGATAACCTTTGTTTAGCCCCAGAAGTGAAATTAACAGCGTATGACAAGTGACAGTAAAAAAAAAAAAAAAAAAAAAAAAAAAACAACACAACCAACACCATCAACAAAAAAGCTTTCCTCTCACAAACTGTTTTATGCTCACAAATTTCAACATGCTTTTAAAAAAGTCTGCATCATCAGGTAAACAGACAGCTCCTTGGGCTTTAAATCCATGCAATCTTCGGCAATCTCATCAGAGCAATCATCAGATATAACAGCAGTGCAAGCTCATTTCTTCTTATAGGCAAATATGATCCTGTTTTCAGCAGTAAAATCATAGCAAAAGAGAACAATGAAGCTAAAAAGACTTACTGGAGATCAAATATAAGCTTGCCGTAAATTGCAGAGTATAAAAAAAAAAAGCAAAGCAGACCAAAATAATACCACTGATATCTTTTATTGGGCACAAATTTTTTTTTATTATTTTTATTTTTCTGCAAATGGAGAGTTCATTTTATGAGAAAGTCATGCAGATTTTTGGTTTCTACTACCTTGATTCTAAGTTTTTTTTTACAGCAAGGAAAAAGTATGAGGACAAAGATGGGAGTATGGGCAGCAAATTCTGAATCTTCTGCCAATGAAGGTTACACATTTTTATCATTCTTTGCAATAGGAATAACAAGACACCCAAATACTGACCTTTTATGGTTTAAAAGATGGATACTGAAGAGAGATTGGTAGCTCTCACTTATTTTCTCTTTTTACATTAAAAACCTTAATAAACTTCAACTGGCATACACAGATGCAAATTTTGTGCTTCATATGAAGTTTAGCAACTTTGAACTGGGAAGAGTTTCTCCCATTTCTCTATACATCTTTCTAGACACATATTCTAAGAGAGTAATTTGTTTGTAACAAACAAGCACTTTTCCTACCTGCCCACTTCCTCATCTACTTCCTAGCTGAGCAGGAACAAAACATACCTTTGTTCCCTAATTCCAGTAACAAAGTAACAATGAAATACAAAATCACAAAGAATAGGAGAACTGCCAAACTATCATGGAGTAAACAAATGCTCCTCCCCTCAATGGACGAACTCTGATTCTACAGAGAAAAGTCAAGTATCACCAGATTGAAAGTTTCACTACTGAGTAGATGATGGGTAAAATCCTTTTTGACATTATCTTGCTGTGAGATTTTAAGCATGAGATTAGATTTCCTTTTTTCCCCCCCCACACACTGCTTGTTACGCAAAATGTGTTTCTGATTATCCAGCCTGTGTCATTCATGCTTCTCACACACCAGTGAATTCAAAAGGTTAACTACAATATTTTAAAGAAAGTAGCACAAGATTTTTATTTTACTGCAGGATTTGGAAGATGATTAAATAAGGACAAAAGTCCCAAAACATCTGGAGCAAAATCACCACCTGGTTAAGGAATAATAAATCTCCTTTGTGAGAAGCTGTTTTCAGTGGAACAGGTGAGGAAAAGAAAAAGCCACATTTCTAAAACACAAAGGAAACTGCTTTGTAAAAAGAAAAAAAAAAAAAAAAAATTATTTAACCACTGCCATTAGGTGTGTTTAGCTCTCTTTTGAGGGGAGAAAGAGGGAAATGATATAATTTGGAATTTCAGATAGCTCTAGGGCCTGTAGTAAGCAGCACAATGATACACAAATAAAGGAAAGGAAAACATAGGAGAACAAATGGGAAATGAGTATAAAGAAAAGGAAAACCACCCCAACTGCAAGAGGTACCCACTAACAGTTAAGGTAACATTCATTGTTTTGTGGAGTTTCAGACATTCATTCACTTCCATCACGAAAAAGCTAAGTCACTTAGTCTTTTGTGGATGGAAGAAATTCAAATTCAACCATTCACCTACTACTAAGAGCAGGAACTGAGACACTCAGCAAATGAAACCAATTTTAGAAGTCTAGACTCAAGGAAGAGATGACCTGAAGTTTGAACTGATTTAGTTTCTGGGAAGGCAATAAGATCATCTGGAATAACTTCCTCCATCTGCCAACTCCAGCCTACACTCCACAGGGCAGAAATCTTTTATCTCAAGCTCTCCAGCACCACTCATAGTGCATGTCTGACACAAATGGAAATTGTTAGAACAAGCACGAGGTGAGATGAAGATATAAAGAATGCTGCAATTCAAAAATCAAATGAAACAGTCACCTGGTAACATTTTTATTATTATTACTTTAGCAAATCCAAAATGAGCTGGCAAAAAAAAACCATCTTCCTTTCCAGCACTTCCCCTGGTAGTGAACACGGACAATTCAGGGAAAAAAGCAAGGGTGTTAAATTGCAAGAGTAAGTTCTAGCAGAATTAAGGCTATTATTCACCTTCTTATCTACTTTTTAGGTTTATAGCTGCCTCCAATTTGAACCTTGTTCAAGTGCTTTATAAGAGAAGGGAAACACTCCTGACACGTATGAGAACTAAACAATCTCCACATCCAGGCAGTTACTCTGCATGTACTAGATAGGTATGCAGACAAAGTAAGTGCCACCTTACATGACCATGTGCTGACATTAAGTAGCCTTGGATAATAGGAGACTAAAGAACTGCATTGTGTACAAGAAGAAGGAAATCCAATAGCTCTTACAATGGTGTCAAATCTTCTGGGAAAGCATCAACATTCTGTTCTGGAGGCACACACAGAACAACAGATTCATCTAATGAGAAGTCCTTGAAGGAGAAAGACTACTGGCTATATAGCCAAGCTAGTTTTAAATAGAAGAATTACCAGAAATCACTAATGTTAAAGAGGAGCTTTTAGTGCACTGAAAATAATCGGAAAAGACATTTTCAAAAACCCCAAATGGATTATTTTTTTCCTTGAACCTCAGAAATAACACCACAGCAAAGACACATTTCTTCTTTTAGCAATGTAGCTCAGCTACAAACAGGCAAAGCCACAAGTACTAAGTTCACTTCCACAAGGAACAGTGTGGCTAACACTTAAAAGCAGCAGAAAGGCAGAGAGAAGAACAGCATAAAGCAGTGGAGAGCTTACCAATACTGTGAAATTGGAGTTGACATTGAGTGGGCTCTTGTAACAGGACATAAAATTCTCACAAACCAGAATATTATTGTGGGAGTGCAGCAACAGGGCCAAAGTGCAGGAGTTCCCAGCCAACCGGAAGGCACATAAACAATTTAGAGATTGGATTTAATTGCAATGCCAATTTGTTTTTTCTTGAGTACTCAAAAATGGCTCTAAGATGGCACTTTGAGTACTAGGAAGGGACAGTCTTGACAAGTGTCAATATATCAATATGATGCAACCTGAAATCTTGACGTGGTTCATTTGGTAAAGTCCTGTCTGTGTAGACCAGTTAGGAAAACATCTTGAACACGTGAACTAAATATCTCCTGATAAAAATCTATTTTCCTCTAGTGATTAGTAACCAACATAGCAGACTGGTGTTCAGTGGAGTTAGACACAATCATGACTTTCATTTAACCCAACCAGCAGAACCCTGCACTTTTTTTATGCCAAGTATCCCATATGCTATGGGAACTGATAATAGGCATATGATTGCTGATGATGCCAATATTCTTTTAAAAAATTGGAACTAAAGAAGAACAGTAAATTATTCAAAAGAAGCTTCAAGAAACCTCTGCTCTTTACAAGCTTCAAGAAGTCACAACACATTTGTTTCCATTTAAAAAAAAGTTTTCCAGGTGGTAGGACAATGTTGGGGAACAGCCTCAAATGCTTTTATTGAAAACCCACTTTCTCAACAAGGAAATTCTGTTATGGTATGATCTTCACTCTTCAATTACTAACACTCCTTTCCATTTTCCCTGTTTCTACTTGGTCCTCAAAATACTTATTTATCCAAGTGTCAAAAAAAAAAAAAAGAAGCACTAGTGAATTATAGGCTCAAGTTTTCTTTCATAGTATTAAAACATTAATAAATAGTTCTAAGAACAGCACAAGAGTAGTCTAACTCAATTCCAAAAATTTCCATTATTGGAAAGGTACCTCTTCATAAGGTACTAATAGTCAAGAGAAAAGTTGCTGATAAGGAGACTTATAGTCTCCCCATGGAAACACAAATGTGTGGAAACAAAAGGATTGCAGCAAAGGATCTCTTGAAGAAAGCAAACTATTGAAACAGATAATGAAGTAGACAAATAGATGCACAGGAGGCAGCAAAGAAGAGTAGAGTATGTGAGAGGGGAACCACTCTGAAATCAGTCATACCTTCACATCCACGTTCAATCTGCCCACTGCGGTGCAGAGCATCATTAATTAGATCAGGAAGACGCCCATTCAAGTCCACAGATGCTAGGCAGCCCTGAAATCCGTCACGTGAGGCCACTAGCTTTGGGAGGTTGCTGTACATGCCTTGAGCTAGACCAGCAATGTAGAGATCACCTGCAGGAGAAAAGGTAAACATACAAGAAGAAAGTTACGTAACTTTTAAATTGGCTTTCCCCACTCCCAAAATTAATGAGCTGAACATCTGCTTAGAAAAGGTTAAAAGAAAAGTAGGATATTGTAAAGGTCCAGAAGTCATTTCTGGCTATTTAATATGCATACATGCTGTCTGACTAGTGCCCTTGATCTACATCTAACTAAACCAAATCTTAACCTAACCTAAAGCAACATTCACTATTCTCACTTGGAATCCTCACACAACTCGGTATTTTATGTCATTTTCATGTAAGACTGAAGTAATTATGAATGCATTTCCCTTGTATAGCCCTAACTTAATCCAGATAAACTGGGTATAATCTGCTCACTATCTTTGCTCACGCGCTTTCCCATCAACACTAGCAATCCATATACTACAACCCTGCATTTCCAACAGTTTTTAACAAATTTTGCACACTTCCCACCCTCCCCTCCAATCATCAGTGCATCCTGTTTTATCATCTATCACCTCTCAATGCGAGATATATGCTGTGCACAGTGGTACTTCTCTAAAATTTCCACTGTTCCTAAGAAACAGAAACTTAATTACACTTTATCTAGGGGAAAACCTCAGATTGACCATCAATTTCCAAGGAAAAAGAAACATAAAAAATCATCCACGATAAACTATTTATTCTGGTATGGAAGCTGACAAACAGAGAAAGAAAAATGGACTTGAAAGCCAAAAATCTGAAAATTCCTGATTTTCAGTTCTGAAATCCATGTTTTTAAGCTTACCGGTTAAGCCCTGCTGAAATAAAGAGAGGGGTGGGGAAAATATCATTCTTTTAGAATTTACCTTTAAGATCCAGATTTTTGGCTCCATTGATAACTTGAGTGACCATCTTAGTGTCCACCTTTAGACTGTGTGTGTTACTGTTGTCTCTGGTGATGACAACATTGTGCCACTGGTTGTCATTAAGAGGACGGTCACTGTTGCCTTTAATAACATTGGGTCCATTCCCAAGGTCAAACACATAGTGTATATAGCTGTAAACATAACAAGAACCAGTTAAAATTAAACAACTCCAGCACTGATAAGATGATAAAATAACATGCAAGTCATGAAATACCGTGTCTCTGGATTAGAAAGTTCTAGTTAGCCAAAAGTGAAGCCCCTGATTCAGAAAGGTGAGGTCTTTCTTTTCCACCATGTGTAAGGGTTCACATTTTCAGAGATTACAGTTGAAGTAATCAGATTCTAATAATAAAGTTTGGGGTTTTTTTTGTTTTTTGTTTTTTTTACCAAATTCTTTCAGACCCACAAAAAACTTCTGACCGTGCTTATAATTATTTTTAAAATTTGGTAAGACCAATTGATGTAATGGAGAGCAATGCTAGATATACTTATTTAGGGCACATATTCCCCAGATTCTGAGTTTTGAGTAACGTTCTTGAAAAGTTAATTGGGAAACTCACTCAAAATATTGCACTAAAATTCACATGAGATCCTATGCTTATTCAAACAGCTGAAAAACTGTTGGCAAGTCTTTTTGGAAAAACATAAACTAACAAAGTTTGAAGTCATGAGACTGTTACACTGAATTGCTTATACAGTTCAAACACTGAAATCCACCTGAGGATAAATATCCTTTTCAGAAAATAACAACAAAAAAAATTCAAACCTCAACAGAGCTCACGATATTTTTTTTTTTAATTGATTTATTATTAGTCAATGTCCCACTCACAGAAACCCACACAAAGTTAAAAAATGAAATGGACTGAACCTCAGTTATATTAAAATAAGCAGGACTAGTTAAGTATGTTTGTGGAATTCATGTTTACAGTGTCTAGATGAAAGAAGAACAAACATTTACTCAACTGATAAACGCACTTTTTTCCTTTTTAAAGCTATTGGCCTTGACAAAAGAATACACTGGCTCAAGAGCAAGGTCAGTTCACTCTTCTTGAGCATCACTACAAGGTACAAAAATTTGGTAGCCCACAAGATCTTTTTTCTTTCCATGGAGGTTGCAGAAATGCAACAGGTCAGTTATAGGGAAGGAGATTAAAAAACAAAAGGAACAAACTCAGAGCCCTTGGCATATTTTCTGCAAGATTAACTAGAGAAAAACGTAGGCATAATCACATCTGAAGGACTTCAAACTTTGTTTTCCACGTACTGCAAATATGTCTTTCCCTAAGTCACAGTCAAAAAGTCAATGGTTAAAATCAGGAAACTTAAGTTATAATGTTTACATCCAACTGCTTTGTCATACACTTCAGAAAGCAGAGAAATGTGAGATTGATTTTTTTTTTTTTATGCAAGATTTTGAATTTTATCTATAAAATGAAACCCTGGTAGAAAAAAGCAGAATGTTCACTTACCCCTTGACTAGCTCAACTGCAATGAAGTCATTACCATCACCACTGTTAAAGAGTATGAAACCATCAGCTGAAGTGGTCTTAAACTGAAAGAAGAGGTGCATGGATGTATAAGCCTGCAAGGTGGCCAGACTCAGGTAGCTGCTCTTGGTCTTGAATGTCACAGGGTCAGCTATAATGTTGCGGAGACCAAAGCGTGCCTTCAGCTCACAGTAGTCAATATCACCATTCTTGCACAGGTCAATGTAGAGCATCCCATTGAACATGAGGCTCTGAAGGTGACCAATAAAGCTAGAAGGGATGACAGAAATGTAACGTTTCTCAGTCATGATCCCTGTCTCAATGTTATGGAACTCCAAGCGGGTGTGATCACCAACCATTGTGCCTGAAAAACAGAAAGAACAGGCAGAAAGCCTAAGCATCAGTACTAGGTTATATGGAGTCCCTCACCCCCCCAATTTCCAGACTTACAGCATTACTAAATTAATTCTACACAAAAAAAGAAATGACAGTCTTGGTGAAGTAGCTTGACTATACTGGTTGTGAAAACCCAAGCAAAGAGATTAAGACAGGACTGAAGGGTCACAGAAGTCACAGAATCATAGAATGGTTTGGACTGGATTGGAAAGGACCTTCTAGTTCCAACCCCCCTGCTATAGGCAGGGACACTCCCCACTAAACCAGCATGCTCAAAGCCCCACCCAGTCTGGCTTTGAATGCTCCAGGAAGGGGGCATCTACAAACTCTCTTTTTCCAGTGTCTGATCACCCTCACAAATAAATGATTTCTTCCTAACATCTAGTCTTAATCTACCTTCTTCCAGTTTAAAGTCATTTCTCCTCATTCTATCACTACATGCCCTTATACAAAGTCCTTCCCCAGCTTTCCTACTAGGCCCCCTTCATGTACTGAAAGGTTGCTATGAGGTCCCCACAGAGCTCTCTCTTCTCCAGGCTGAAGTTTCCCAATTCTTTCAGCCTGTCCACACAGGGAAGGTGCTCCAGCCCTCTGATCAAGCATCCTTTTCACACGAGTCCTTGAGCCTTTAACACACAACAGAAACCATTTACCTCATCAACATTTATTTATGATTATTTTCTCCATACTCAACATACATCCATTATTCAAACTCTGCTACAGATATGCAGTTATTGTTTCCATGAGATTTTCTAGACTATTGTTCTGGATTTTCATGACCAGCTGTTGGCAGTAGGGCCAGGTCTGCAGGGAGATTGCTGTGAAGAGAGGCCAGAGCCACATTGACCCACATATGGCCACTGCCTGTCAGTTCCAAAAAAGTCCCCTTCTCCCCCCCATCTCACAGGACTCAGCTGCGCCCCTCAGCTATGCTGGTAGCACCTCAAAGAAAAGATGCTTAAGAAAGGAAAATGCTGCATGCAAGTGAGGAAGAAAGAAAGAAAAGTGCAAGAATGCCCTGCAAACACTGAGGTCCAGGAAGGAGGAGGGGGATGAGGCACAGCAGGCACCAGAGCAGAGATTCTCCCATAGCCCATGGAGGACCACTCCATAGCACGTATTCACACTACAGCCCAGAGGTGACCCCACACCACACCAGGCACATGTGTCATGGAAGAATCGTGATCTGTGGAAGACACACACTGAGGCAGGTTTTCCTAACAGACAGTGGAGATAATCCATGCTCAAGCAGTTCAGATGCAACTGCAATCTGTGAAAAGGACCCATGCTGGCACACAGAAGAAAATTGCACGGAAGAAAGAGTTGCAGCGAGGACTGCAATCTCCAATTCAACATCTTATTCTGCTCAAGGAGATAAAGGAGTTGGCAAAGGAAGGAGTGAAACTGAGTCTGAGAAAAGAAGGGGGGAAAACAAGTTTTTGTCTTTGTTTCTCACCATCCTCCTCAATTTTTACTTGGTAATAAATTATTTTTACCTGTGTTGAGCCTGTTTTGTGCAAGGCATTAAGGGGCAGCTGAATTTCTCATCTCTATGCTGAACCATGAGCTATCATCCTATTTTCTCTCTCCTTATGAGGAGATGCAGGGAGCACAGCTGAGCTCCCAGCAGCTGGCCAGGGGCAGCCTCCCATTAATGCTGATCAGCACAGCATGCCAGATAACCTCAGTCCACTTACAGAACTCCAACAAGATTATAAGACACCATTTTCAATTTTATACACACAACATTGAGGAACAGAGAGGTAAACATAGAAATATGAGTTTGGATTTCAATAAACATTTGGCATCCAATTTAGTGGAATGTATAACTACTTAACTGCTCCCATTTGAGACTCAGTACTTCTAGAGAAAACAGCCAAGATCCTAAATGAGTTCCCCCTCCCCCCCCCAACAAAAAAAACCAAAGATACAATTAGAGACTATATGTGAAATACCTGACTTCAAGCCACTTTCTGCAGCTTCTCATAGCAACTCTAAGGCAGAGAAGTCAGTTCCTCTGGGCAATATTTGGATGCCTTATTAAAAGTTCCTTTTTTTTTTTTTTTTTTTTTTCCTTTTTTTCTTTTTTTGCCATGCTGTCTCTTTCAATACAGACTAATCAGTGAGGTTCTTAAAAACAAGTCCCTTTTTTACTATATAGTCCCATGTCAGCTCTGTTGGTTCTCCTACTGCAGAAATGTTTTAACACACTGGTTAAATTCTACCAGGATTAAAATAATAGAAGGGTCAAAAATGCACTAGTTTTATGAAAAAAAACTGATACCTAGATAAAAATATGATAATTATTTAGAGTGGGATACAGATAAGAAGAATTTATCAATAATATTGTGCTGGATTGCATCTCTCGGTCAATTAGCACACATACACAGCTCTTGACTAACCACTGCAGAAGTTACACCCGAGATACTGAGATTAGATCTGTAAGCCTCACCGTGCACTATACCTCAATTTCAAGAAAAACCTCCCCTTTTAATTTGACCGAGACAGATCCACTGAACTTAGAAGCTTCCTTATCCTTAGTACTGCCACCTGAAATTACCTTTCATTTCTCACCTAACTCCCAGATTAAGAAACAAAATCTTTCATCACTTCTATTTGTAACATATTGTTGTGGTTTTTTTTCCTGTTGTCTGAACTAATTTTTTATACAACATGAGTCAAATTAGGTGAGCTGACAGTCTCTAACTTGCTTAGGCCTTCTTCAACACTAAATATCCAACTCACCTTTCATGACTAAACACTAAGTGAAATTCTTCAACTTACACTTTGAAAAACTTGGTCACAATTTAACAAAGACAGTAAAAAGGAAGTTATTAGGAGAAAGCATTCTCAAGTATTTACTCCAAATATAAAAATGTAACTTTTCTGTTTTTGCTTATACCCAATTTCAGCAGAGGATCTAAATTTAGAGACAGTTATACAAAGACCTTGGACATGAAAATCAGCAACGCAAGCACACAGATTGGACAAATTTACAAGTAAATGAAAGCAGTCACGTACTCCTGACTATTCAGAAATTCAATCTGTAGTACAAATACAAATGTTTTAAAATTCTGAAAAAGTCCTTTATGGGAAATATTTTATTCTAACAAAACTTCAGGTCATAGGCACTGAAAAAGTCTGGGTACGGTAAGTTTATTTAGACAAACTATCTCTTACCCACTGTTAAGACTTTCTTTAGTTTCACCATTTACCAAAAGAAAAGTTATAAAATTCTCTGGGTTTTGAAATTTTATTTCTTTTTTGAAAAAAAAAAAAAAAAATCCTTTTGGTTTTTTGTTGCTGTTGTTGTTGTTTCGTTTTTTAACTTCAGTAGGTTGGTAAACTAAAAAATGTAGAGATGTCAGGTACCAAGAGCAGGGAGATTCTTCTACTCTTAATTAAATGCAAAGAACAATTTGTGAGAGTAGGGGATACAAAGCTAGGCCTTTGAAAGCTGGAATACACTGGGATAGGAAATACATACAGGGGGGAATTAAAAATGGAGTGAATGAGGTTGGAAGAGATAAACTCAGACTTTTAGAAGAGGTGAGAAGTGGGAAAAATGAGATTGGCTTAAGAAAAATAGGACAGCAATGGCAGTACAGATAGTCAGGAGAAGTTCAGCAAAAGACTGAAAAGAGCATGATATTACAGGACAGAGGTATCTTTTCATAAAAGACCATAGAGTAAAAATCTGGTATCTTCAGGTCTCATCAGCTGTCAGTCCTAGAGTTCCTCTCATTTGCTTCATTCTGGTCTGCACAGAGTATTTTAACTACTACCACATTCAGCAGCTTGTCAGTTCAGGTGGTAGCAAACAAAGATTTCCAGCCTCTGCTGTAGAATTTGGGTGCTAATAAGATGCTGTGCAGAGGAATATGCCTGCTGTACTTATACATCATTTACCACTGATATTCAGCGGTCAGTTACAGTGAGAAGGGAGATGGGGACTGTAGAAGAGTTTTGTGATTAAGCAAAAAAAATGCTGTCCAGAGGAACTGGATGATGACTGTGCCCTAAGCTGCCTGCAGGAAGCAAGTAAGTCAGAAAGTCCATGGCAAATTTTTCACAGGTGATCATGAATTGTCTAGATACAGTTCTCCTAGTAGCAGAAATGAGCTAACAGAATCTAATTTACAGGCTTGCTGAATAGTCATACATGTAAATGACTGAGAAATCATGTCAAAAAATTGTATCAAATACACCTAACTTTAATCTGATGACTTTGAAACCTATAAAAGGGAAAAAAAAATCCAACTCACTTCATAAAACAAAGGAGTGAATCTAGATACAACTTCTTAGTTCCACATAAACATATTGGTGAGTGGCATACACAAGGGGAAAAAACAGCTCTATATTAAGAACAAAATTTAATTTGCCTGCATTGTTCAAAACAAGCAACAATCAATTAGGTTGCTTATTTTTAATGGGGGTCTAATTTAGATTTCTTACCTATGCCTAAAGAGAGCATGAATCCAGTGGAAAAATCTATGTGACCACATCTAAAACTATATCATATATCCCAGGAAGCGGAATGCAGATTGCACAGAAAGTCTTAATGCTGGTTTTGACTTTTGACTTCACTGTGGTGGTCGTCTTTTAATAGATATTTTTAGCAGCAATGCATCTTTAATTATGTAATTCATGTACATATGCAGATCCTATTTTAGTATAGGATTGTATCATTATTATTTATAAACACAGTTTCATGAAAAAATGGACTACGAAAAACAGATGGCATTTCTGGGGACTGAGTTTCAAAAGCAGAGAGTGCCACCTCATGGTACTTGCTGGAAAAAAAAGAAAAAAACCCTCATATCTAGAGAAACTGTTCTAAAATCCAAAAGTAAACAAGATGATGCATTTACCTGCATGTTTCTCTAATTCAGAAAGACCACACTTGAATGATATTTCATTTTCCTCCAGGCTAGTGTTGATCAAGTCTCTGTCAATTCTTACATTACAACTTTTTCATTCATATTCTTCTTTGATTCTCTCTTGCAAACTATCAGCTTATAGCACAGGATATATTTACTTCAGAGGGAAAATTGACATTAAGTCACTTTCCTGCAAGCCCCTGTCTTTAGACTTATTTCAAAATCCCGCTCCTGGCCTACCAGACAATCTTATTACCACGTTACTTACAATTAATTATACTTACACAGTAATAAAAAACATTTTGCAGAGATAGGCAACTCCAGAAATATATATCCTACACTAGCTGTTCTTCCTCATTGCTTTCTGAGTAGAAACTTGTAGAGAGGATTCCAGCATTTGGTAAAACAGCATTGGTTACAAGTAAATGAATATACTCTTATCAATGTTGTACCTAGCCTTAATGTTCTTTGCGATCCTATTGTCAGTCTTCACTCTCCTGGTGTTTTCCTTAAAAAGCCAGTTTCTACAGTTGTACACAGCTTTGATAAATTTTATATTATTATTCAAAAAATGAAAAACGTTTGTCTCTTCCAGCTCTGGAGAAATAGACCAGAAATATCACATATGAAGATCTTTTTTTCTGCAATGAAAAAAAGATCACTGTAAAATAGTTTGGTCATTTTTGCGCAAATCTCCTAACTTGGGACACATCTTTTCTCCCTCCTCTTCAACTCCATTTCTACAAAAAGCATAAGCTTAAAAATCTGTCAGAGAACGCAAGAAAAAAAAAAAATAAGACTGACATATTCCATGTGCAATAACCCAGTGACTTACGGTCCTTCCTAATCTCTTGAAGAAAGCTGAGAGTGAAGTGTTCTATTTGCCCTTTCCTCTGGAAGGCTCTAAGCCACGGGCACAAAAATTTTAAAAACAACACTAGAGACAGAAGTCCACATTCTCCATCATACCTGTCAAATGCAGGTTTTACCATTCAGGAAAAGTTTGTTCAAAGGAAAGTTTTAGAAGGCTTTAGCTTTCATTCCACAGCACAGGAAATTGCCACACTTGCTGCTCAGGAATGAGGTGTACTCAGAGCCTACCTGAGCCTGGCACAAGAGTATGTGACATTCAACACCTTCGTGCTTTTGACTTTGTGCAAGCTCATTTGTCTCCTAAGCACATAACTCAGATATGATTATTGGCTCAGAACCTTCTGGAACTTGGTGAGAACAGTTCTTGTCACTGAACTGAACAATAGCTTTCAGCATAGCACTATTAAGTACGCAGAAAGTGACAAGTGTCAGGAAAAGAAGGAGAGAAACACAAGGACAGGGGAAATGGATGAAAAGGCAGAGGCTGGGAACAGAGATGCAACAGTAACAACCAAAACTACTTATACATTGCACTCACCCTCAGCAACATCATCATCCACCATCAGTTTGAGGCTCTTTCCACGTCGAACTACCCGAACAGTGTGCCACTCATTGTCGTTGAGCTTCTGCCCCGCATAAAGAGTTTCAGGTCCCTTGCCTGCAGATGGTGATAGGTTTGACAGTTAAGAACAGACTCCAAATTAGTTCACTATCTGCCCAATTGGAAAAGTCACCAAAATCAACCTGGTGCAATACAGACTAGGAAACTGGGTAGGTGCATTGTAGTCTGAAATCAACCCTCACAAGTACACCTTTCCAGCTCAAAGGGAGTCAGGGTCATGAACATTCCTACTCAAGCAGTGTCTTTCTCCCCAGAGGTCACACACATATCACAAGAGATAGAAATCCCTCTGATGCTATAATACAGGGCACTGCAGTATTAGCAAAATGAGTTGATGACAGAAATAACTCTAGGGTGAAGTAATCATTTACAATTTTTTCTCTCTTAAGAACCTTGATTTACATTAGTCGCAAGGGATTCTTTTCAGAGTTAATCGCACTGAACTCCCAGTGCTTAAGTATCAAACACCAGGCTGTTTTCAGTCTTTCAGTCTCAAAAATAAAGAATTAACTCAAAAAAGAAATTTAGTAATAATAATACTGCAGAAAGGCTATCAATACCACTCACCACCTGGCCGATTGCTCTAATGTTGTTCCACAGAGCAGACTGGCTATACTTACACAGGGTGCTTATTGTGCCTTGAGTTATGTGTCAGTAAAGAAAGAGGAACCCATTTCTCTCCAAAAAACATACCCACAGTTGTCCTTGCAAGCAATGCTCCTGGAAAAACTGCATTTGTGCTACCCATATTCATCCAGTTTTGCTGCTCACCCATCACAGTTGACAGGCAATTACTTAAAACATTAATTGTTCAGATTATAGAACTGGAATAGTTTGTTCATGTCAAATGGTAAGTGAAGAATGGTATGTGCTAAATTAGAAAAAAAATACGTGCTCATTTCAGTACAGTACTGAAGTATTTCGACAGTTATATCAGAGAAACACAGAATGAGGACAGCAGAACTTTTTGCTCATGAAGTTTGGGCTCACTGCTCAAGACATCAAAAGAGGAAACCAGCAAGGAAAAGATATATTAAACACATTAAGAGCAACGGGACAGGGATAACACAAGGAACTAGAATAGTTCAACTTACAGCATTGGTAAAACTAAATGTCAGATATGCAGCTTATATCCCATAGTTGGTCAATTAAAAAAAAAAGTTTTTAATTCAGTTATTTTGACCAGTTTTCATGGAATGGGTTACTACACAGTCCAACTTCATTGCGAGAATGAAATATGCACATCTTGGAGCAAAGCTTTGCACAAAGTGGATGCACCCACTCTGGTCTGTTTGCGATGCACACTAGTAGGTCTACACTAAGAATAGCATATTATACAGTGAAACAGAACTGAAGGAAAGGGGTAGGACTCACATCTAGGAACAATAAGCAGTCCAGAGTACACATATTACCTAACCAGCAACGTTATGGTAACTTCATCTTCCCAAGAGGGAATATGGGCAAAGCAGCCAGCATTTCATTCAGCTAAAATATAACATGCTAGGGGAATCATACAGGAAGAAACAGCAACAGAATGAATGTTGTGTCATTCCCAATGGGGGTCATGCAGTTCATGTGAACAAGAAGGCAGAGAGACTCCCCTTCAAATGAAGTCTGTTGCTATCCAATTTTAACACAGAGCAAGAGGAAAAAAAAAAAAAAAAAAAAAAAAAAAAAAAAAAAAAAAAAAAAAAAACCCTGTCTTTCTACAGTGATCTGAAAAATGAAAAGTCATTCTCAATTTAAAAGGCCGGAAAGTTATACTGCAATTACAGAAGATACTTCTTTGTCAGGAAACCCATAACCCCTGAAGTTTCCCCATCTTTGTGCCAAAGGCACACTGCACCACGAATGTAATCCTGGCAGCTAGATCATAGCTAAAAACCTTATGTTCTTTTGAATTAGGCAAAACACTATTTAGTAGAGTTTTTAAAAGTTATGCTAGATTTACATTAGTGAGAATACATTGTTTTCTAAAGTGTGTGTTACGAAAGGATGCACATGGATGACCTGCAAAAATAACGCCTATATCAGAACTGAATCAGTTATTGTAGTTCTAAACCCATATCTTAGGTCCAAATGACCTCCCAGTGTGTCTTTAAGATGCCACCTGACCAGATAATACAGAGCTTTCTAGGCAACAACTGCATTCTATATGGTTCAGCAGCTCAAGGTGACCTATCGCTTTTCAATTCTAGCCTGACAAAGTGGGAATCGACCAAAAAGAGCTTGTTTGGCTTATCATTGCCATCTTAATGTCCACTGTAACACTTTGAAAAGAAAACTGGAACAATTTTAGAAGTTATCTGACTAGATTCACAGAAAATGTATACTAGTCCGTTCAGAAATGAATGAAAGTTTTAGGCTTTCCAACTTCTTTCCAAAAGAAAAGGTTGCCTACAAATGAGATTGCTATCTAGTTAATAGTTGGTGCTCATGAATTTGAAAATTAAGCACTATGAATGCAAACAATTTCATGTTTACTGGTCCCTGACTTGATCAATCATTTTAACATTAATCAGTCTAGAAAAAATTAAATAGGAGCTTTAATACTTCATGTATAAGCCTCAATTTGTATGCAATAGTAAGCATGGGCTTCTTTTCATTGAGTTTCCTGAACAATAATGCATACCAAAAAAAACCAAACACATACCCATGAGAATGTCAAAGTAGTGCTCACAAACAGTATTTTACTGCTGTTTAAAAATGCTTTAAAGGCATTTATGTACCAAGTAGGTTGACATGATTTGCAAAATCATGTCCCACTTTTTCAACTGACAGAGCACAAATGAATTGCTGCTCCCTGAATCCCACTGAATTCAAAGCAATTCCAGCAACTACATAAAGTGATTGCCACATCTGGATGCCAAACATCATCTCACTGAGCAGGGTGACTACATATGCTGCTATTACACAGATATTCATATATGGTCAGCTTTTAAGAGGACTTGAAGATTCCCAATTCAATAGCTGCAGATGCCAGGAAATAAAAAGGAAATGGTTCACAATGTGGTGGGGATCTAATTCTCTCCTTTAACACCCAGTGAGACATTTATATGGTCTTACAGCTAAGTACAGAAACAAGTGCTTTGACAAAAGAGTTTTTTTTTCCCACCTTTCAAGGTGTCTTGCATGTCACCCTTCATCTACAGAAATGCAAGTACAGGAAGTGGCAGAGCAAAAGGGTAGTTGGTCAGATAAAGTCAAAGATGTGCATCTCCCCTTTGTGTATTTTTTATAAGAAAACACAAGGAGCCAAAAGAATGAGGTAGCACCGTCATAAGTTGGATGCCTGGCAACACTATTTATAGCACTTCTGATAAGAGGGCAGCTGGACATTAGGCAATTTTTGCATTTTATTTCATTTTTGAGTGAGAAGTAGTAAGGGGCAATTTAACAGGGAAAAGAACCACAGAATTTCCACTTCCACAATAACTGAACTATTAAGCTACCAGACTATAATTCTTATGAATCTAAAAAACACCTGCATGTGTCTCCAGCCTTCTTAGTCCTTCTAGCAACCTAATGATATCTAAGAAATGTCATATCACTCAGAAACAATTGCTATCTCCCATTTTTCAACTCACATGAGGCAGGCTAGTATGTACTCTCTCAGTGCAGTGGCAAGCATCACCTAATCAGAAGGAGAAAGAAATATGTCACATGCCCCCATACTTGGACATAATTAGTCTAGAGGAAGACTGAGGTTTCCTGAGCAAAGATTACTTGACTCAGCTGCGGCAGCTCCTCCCCATGATCCCATGAATCCTTTGAAATCTGATTGACATTCATGTGCATGTAGCTCACATGAAATAAGTATTACATGCTTTCAAACATGGAAAAACTCCATCCACTTGGCCCAGTATGTCCAAATCTTTATTTCTATATCAAAGGTGCACTGCTGCCAGTTAATAGCTTGGTGCCAATAGATAATAAGTGTCAAGAAGAATGCAATGTGTATATGAGCAAACAGAAAGCAGTTAATGCCTTTTGAAAACAAGAAGTTGCTTTCCATCTGGCCCCCCAAAACTCGCTCATTCAGAGCAAACACCTAGACTGAGAGACACATTTAAAACAAAACTCTGAAAGCATCAGGCGTTACCCACTCTAAGTGGCTAACAGCATAAAAAACTCCCTCGTGTGAAAGGCAAAGGATTAATCCTCTCATTATTTTCTCACTGTTGGATTAAAGAGTGTGCCTTCAACCTCAGTGTAGGCTGTAATCATGTGATCCCTTTATATGGTTAAATCAGACTTCTTGAAACAAGGCTAGTTTCATTATTGTTTATCTTATCCTTCACTATAGATGAGGTCAAACATATCAGAAGAGACAACCAGAAAGGACACTGCCAGACTGATGAGAATGAGAAAGACTCTTCTTCATCACAATTACAATAATAAATCTACAGGGGTAAACAGTGCTATTTAGAGAAGACCAACAGTAACAATAAAAAATTTTATCTGCATTTATTTTTATCTAAAATATGCAGCTGTCATTTAAGCTTCGCTCACGGTCAGGAAATATTTTTGCATATTTTATACATTGTTTAGGGATGCCATCAGCACCCCAAGGCAAGGATTTATATTCATTTTTTCCTCTTGCTCTGGAGAGAGGTGTTTAGGTTGTTTTCACTGATGTGCTAACAAAATGTGATTCACCATGAAAAACGTGTGCACAGGCTTGTGAAACATGAGGATGAATCATGGAAACAAGTAAGATAGATTCCCTCAAAGCTTAGAGGAAACTAATCTACTAATCTGGATAGACTTTGAAGAATGTTTAGACGTGACTAATTAAACTGCAGAGTTGTCCAGAGTTGGACAATTTCTGTTGTTCCAACAGAAATTTTATATAGAGCCTGGAGAAAAAAGCTGGAAAGCTTCTACAAGAATAATTAACATTAAGCAATTACTATAACATCACTTGAAAATACTACATCAAGATGTAATACTCTTATCTGATCTTAACCAAAACTCTCCACCTGTTTCTCAACTACAAATAATATTAATCTTTTGGAATATATATTTAGCAATAT